ATATATATATATATATATATATATATATATATATATATATATATATATATATATATATATATATATATATATGACAAGAAAGAAAAAGACCAAGTTTCCCCAAAGTATATGGTGCACCTGTTCTTTGCGCAACAGGGACCATCACTGGCTATGGAGCAGTAACCATGCCTGTGGCTTAGTTGACTCAGTACTTAATTCATGAAAGGCTCCATGCTCAGCACCAAAAAAAAAAAAAAAAAAGAATTAGTTTTTAAAAATGCATTTGTGTGAGGAGTTTATTTGCTTCATGGGGAAAGAAGTAGAAACCAAAGAATGGGATGAGCCAGAAAGTAGGTGGACTGGTTGGAGCAAGGAGGGCCCCCGGTGTCCTCCAGAATTGCTTACAGTCACTGCAGTGGCTCCCTGCTAGCCCATGTTGTGTTAATCCCGCATCCCCCCACTTGCCTCAACTACTGCAGAGCTTCTGAGTGCTTGGGGCTTCTTCAGCCTTTGCTCTGGGACCTGCAACTTCATTCTTAATTATTGAGGGTCGCTGCTGCTGTTTTTCCTGGTCGGTGGGGGTCTCCGAAGTGTTTGAGTACTAAACTCCGTACACGTTCACAGGTTCATTGGGATGAGATTCATGACCAGTCTCAGCTTACAGGAGTTTGACATTGCCAGGAATGTTCTAGAACTGATCTACGCACAAACTCTGGCCTGGTAAGTCTGGCAGTGCGGCGGAGTGCCCCAGCCACTTCCCGCCTGGTGGTGGACATGGGTGTTTTGGTTGTAGGACCCTGACCTGTTGTTAAAAAAAAAAATCTGCATGGGTGATAGCAGGCGCAGCTAGTCTGGAAGCCGGGAACTTAGCATGTGTTCTGGATTACTCTTTGCCTTCAGGAGACCTTGGAGATGTCAGACAAGAGTCAGCTTAGGTGGCAGCTGCAGTCCTGGTTTGTTTACCCCTCCCCCAGCTACGTCCCTAACCCTTCCATCCCCGCCACAGTGCTCTTTCTAAGACGCTGGATTACCCCACCCCCGACAGTGTTAAATGTTTGTTTCTACCTAAAATGCGTTCTCTGTGTCTCTCTGTGTGTTTGTACACACGAGTGTGAGTTTGTATGTGTAGATGCATGTGTGTGCATGCATGTGGAGGTCAGAGAACAATCTTGCTGTGTCTCAGAAACTTTCCATTCTTCAAAAAAGAGGAATTTTTTAGGGAAGCTCTTTCACTGGAACTCGCCCGGTACACTAGGCAGGCCAGAACGCCCTTGGGAGCCCTGTCTCCCCTGTCTGGGTCTAGCATCATACCACACGCCACCTTGCTTGGCTCTTTAAATGTAGGTTCTAGTGACTGAATTAAACCGTGACCCCAGCTCCATGCAATTCTCGAATTGAAACAGAACCACCAGTTCAATAGTATTAAGGAGATTTGGTCTTAAAGTGGAGCCACCATTAAAAAGAGGGCTAAGCGAGGCTTCTCGGCCTTTTCACCATGGGAGGATAGTGAGGAGGCGCCATCTACGAGCCAGGAAGTGAGTTTCACCAGACACTGAATCTACCAGCCCCTCAATCTTGGATTTCTGGCCTGTTAAATTGTGAGCAGTAAATCTGTGTTGTTCTAAAGTTAATCAGCTAAAGGTATTTTGTCATAGTATTCCAAAAGACTAATACAATCATCAACACTTTTCATTTTATTTTATGTGTAGTAGTGTTCCTTCTGTATGTATGTCTGTGCATCATATATGTCTGTGCGCTGCCTGCAGAGGGCAGAAGAGGGCATCAGATACCCTGAAACTGGAATTGCAGATGGTTATCAGCAACTGTGTAGGTGCTGGGAACTGAACCTGGGTCCTCTGAAAGAGCAGTCAGTATTCTTAAGCACTGAGCCATCTCTCCAGCCCCATATATTTGTTTCTTTCTTTCTTTGAGGCAGCTTAGAACAAGGTAGCACTATGTAGCTTTGGCTGACCTAGAACTCACTATGTAGACCAGGCTGGCCTGGAACTCATATAGATCTACCTGCCTCTGCCTCCCAAGTGCTGGGATCAGAGGTGTGTCCCACCATGCCCAGTCTAATCTAACATGAAACATGATTAGTCTAATCTAATAATGAAACAGGAGATTTTATGTAGAATTCTCCTCAAAGATCTGGTCTTGAACTGTAGTGAGTATTTCTGATGTGGTCCAGATTCTGCTCTAGAATATATCCCAGTATTGATTTATTATTTTTTCAGTGCCTTTACTTTCCTTCGCTCTTCTAGTGAAAAACTTAACGGCTTGTTTCTTAATCCTGTTCTAATCCTCCTCCTTTCTCGCATTCTTTCTCACTCCTGCCTTTCCTCCCTTTCTCCTTTCCTCCCTCATTCTTGTTTTTGTGGATGGCCCGATGGCCAGCTAGTTGTATCATGGAAATTCATTTTGCTTTTGTTTCTGTGTAGTTCTTGGGATCAAACCAGGCCCTCATGCATGATAGCCAATTATTTCACCCCTGAGATATCCCATTCTAGCCCCTGGCATCTACCCTTTTATTCAGGCACACTCCGAAACCTTAGACCAGCCCATGAGTCTTTCCTTACTTATTTTAACATGATGGAGTCAATGCCAGAGTTTTGTGTGGCATAACACTGCCCATGTTCCATCTGCTGAGAAACTGCTAGTTTCAAAGCAATGCATTAGAAGTTCAATAAACTTGGATCCTGGGGCTTGCCTTGCCACTCACTGGGGTCTCTGACTTCATAGAGCCTCAGTTTCCTCATCTAGAACTTGCTCATAATAGTAGCTGCTTTCAGTTACTGCAGATAAAATTTGACAGCTTTGTAAACTCCAGTGGGCCATGCAACTGCAGTGTCTCATTATTTCATCTCATTAAAATTGCTCCAGGTCATACAGCTATCTGCAGGTAACTCTCTACAGATTCTCCAGCGAGGGAAGATTTCTTTGATCTTTAGGTGGTGATGTGTCTGCACTGCCAGGCCACAGGCTAGCCTGGGCAGCTTCCAAGGTCAGCCGACCACATTATTTCAGCCACCAGGACACCTTTGGGGAGGAGAAAGGTAGAGATACCTTTGTAAGATTCTGCTTTCAGTTGCTCAGCTACCTGCCCAGAAACAGAGTGGCTTGGATCACAAAGCATTTATGAGCACTCCTAAATTATTTTGTGATTTAAAACAATGGGATTAGCTGCCACACGTAATCCTAACACTTGGGAGGCAGAGGCAGGTGGATCTCTGTGAGTTCAAAGCCAACCTGGTTTTCATAGTGAGTTCCAGGACAGTTGGGGCTTCATAGTGTGATCCTATCTTTAAAAAAAAGAAAGAGACAGAGAGGGAAGAAAAACAAAAGATAAAAAAATCAACCAAACAAACAAAAAAACAAGCAACAGCAACAACAACAAACCCTACAATGTGGTAGCCTACTTCTTCCTTTGGGATGGAGCTACCATCTTCTGTTAATTCTCCTAAATGACAAACACAAAGAGAAAGATGAGAGGCACCCAATACACATATGTCTAAGGCTTTTAGGAAACATGGATTGTTCTTCTAACCAAATATATGCTACTTTATAAGAAGAATGATGCTGTAGACGTCAAGCAAGTAGATGTTTGCTTGTTCTAGGTTGATCTCAGTGGCCATGACAAACACCATGATCAAAAGCAACCTGGGAGGAAAAGGGGGTTTGGGCTTACACTTGTAGGTTACAATCCGTCACTGAGGGAAGAAAGCTCAAGGCAGAAAGCTGGAGGCAGAAATGATACAAGAATGCTTTTGGCCCTGCTGATTCACTGACTGATGAATAGCTCGCTTTCTTTTTTATTTCTTTTTTAAGATAATTTAATTACACGTCTTTCTTCCCTCTCCTCCCTCTAGACCTTCCTGTATGCTCCTCCCGGCTCTCCTTCAAACCCATCATCGTTTCTTTTTCACTGATTGTTCTTGCATGTGCACATGTGCATAGTACCTGTATGTATGTTCTCAGGTCTGACCCCTTGGCATTGGCCCACCTAGTAGTGTGCTCTTCCCTGGGAAAGGCCACCTCTGCTGCCCCCAGATTTTCACAGTTGCCTGTAGCTCTTTGTGTAGGGTTGAGACCTTGTGGACTTTTCTCTATCCGTTTTGGCATACCCATTGGTATCATCCTTGTTCCACTCACATTTCAGCAGTCACAGTGGTTAGACTTTACGGGTGTAGCTTCTGATATTACTAGGAGACACAATCTCACAGCCAACTCCCTGATCCTTTGGCTCTAACAATCTTTACCCTGCTCTTCTGAAACATAGCCTGAGCCTTAGGGGTGGGAGTGTTTTGTAGATGTATCCCTTGGCACTGGTCTTCACGGCTTTGCATATTGATTGGTTGTAGTTTTCTGTAGAGCTCGCCATCTATTACAAAGAGAAGTTTCTTTGAAAAAGTATGAAGACTGCACTTACCTGTGGGCATAAGGATAAATGTTTCTTTGTTAAGGACAGACAGATTGTTGTTAAGGATTCTCACAGCTAGCTTTCTTATACAGTAGAAGACCATTTGCCTAGGGATGGTACCTGAACTCAATTTGTATTTATCAGGCTGGCCTTGAATTCACAAAGATTCACCTGCCTCTGCCTCCCTGAGTGCTGAGAGTACAGGGGTGTGCTACTCATCCAGCTTAATGCCAGTTTATATAAATCATAAGTTATTGGAAAAATTGAATCAATCCTGTTCCAAACAGTCCTTAAACTCTGGCTATTATGCTACTGTCTTCTTTAAAGCCTGTTCTTTAAAGGGGCATAGGGAGATTCATGCTTTTGCTGTGCATGCATGAGGACCTGAGTTCAGATCTCAGCACGCTCATATAAGCCATTGTGGCCACATGAGCACCTGTAACCTCAGTGCTGTGGTTCAGGGAGATGAGGGGGTTGCTAGGGATATTGTTGGCCACCAGCCTAGCCCAAGTTTGGTGAGAGAATCCCCTCTCCCTGCCATCTCAAAAGACTAAGGTGAGGAATGATACAATGTCCTCCTTTGACTCTGCACTCACATATGTGCATTCACTTTAAAAATTAAAATGTTTTAAAGTGTGAGGGTTGGTAGGTGTTGGGCAGTAAAGCCATCCTGGCACCTAGCTTCCTTAGGAGTACTGCAGGAGAGCTGGGAAGCGAAGTCTTTCTTACCTGTACCCAGGTACACTTTGTTGTCTAGTCCCTGAGGGCCTTCTCAAGTACTACAGGAAGGGTGGGGCCATGTGTGGCTCCCCTTTGGGACATGCTGGATTAAGGCATACTGAAGGGCCTCTGATGGTTTGGTGGCCCTGTGGTGGGGCCGGGGTGTTCTGTCTTTCTCTCTGCAAACCCTTCCCAGATCTGGGGAGGGAGCCGCCATGGTGGGAATCCTCTGGTCTTCCGTTATTCATTCGCCCTCTGCACTGATCTCCTATGACACTACACATTTAGGGGACACTTTGCCTAACGAACTCCACAGTCGCCGTGTTGGCAAGCTGGGTCCTTCCAAAGCCCGAAAGTCAGGATTTGCCCCATGGCTCTTCCTGGTTTACAGCTGGCCTCACTGTCCCTGAGTCTTCACACAGTTTTCGTTCTGTTTGTGTTCTATTCACTTAAGGACATCACTCGTACTGAACTAGAACCTGCCGCGCTGACCCTGAGTCTACCGCTTTCTAACTCAATTCCTATTTTAACACTCCACCTCTAAACCCAGTCATGTTTTGAGATGCTGTGGTGTGCGTGCATATGTGTGTGTATGTGCCTGTGTGTGTGCGCATTGCTCACATGTGTGAATGTGGGGGGAGGAGCATGTTAGGTCTTCACATATGAATTTTAGGGAGACAGTTCTTTCCCTTGCCTCTGCACCCTACACTCCATGCTTCCCAGGTCTCTGACACTCCTCTCTTCCTCACAGGCTTGGAATTTTCTTCTGCCCTCTGCTGCCTTTTATCCAAATGATCACTCTCTTCATTATGTTTTATGTCAAAAATGTGAGTTGGACCCAAGTTTCGACCAAGTATTTTCCTTTGGTAACTTACAACCTGGAAGGGACCTGAGCTGGGAAAGAGGTGTGGGAGGGGTCGGGAAGTAAAAAACTGGGGAGCTGTAAGTAGATGGTTGGAGATTTGGCATGTGGGGGAGGTCCCAAGGGCTGTTCCTTAGCTGCAGCTGGAAGGGGTTCCATTTCTCTCCTTAGATCAGCCTGATGATGAACTTTCAGCCTCCAAGCAAGGCCTGGAGGGCCTCACAGATGATAACGTTCTTCATCTTCTTGCTCTTCTTCCCGTCCTTCACGGGCGTGCTGTGCACCCTGGCCATCACCATCTGGAGGTAGGGGACTGTGCCTTGGCAGAGGTTTCAGTGATGGGGTGGGTAGATGTCTGTTTTTAAAATGTGGGTTTTGTTATCCAGCTATGAGGACAGTTGCCGCCTCAATCATAGTCCCTCACAGTTCCCGAGAAGGGAAGGTTCTCCTTGCTATGCAGGGCCACATGAGGACAATGCAGAGGTGGTCAGGAGGAAGATGGATGAGGGACAGAAGCCTTTAACTGTGATTTCTGGAGTAAGGAACAGACGAGGCGGGGAGACCAGGCTAGCACTGGCTATTTTGAGTGTTTTTAGAAGGCTCTGCGGCCTCGGGGGCTGTTACAGGTTTTGGGATCCTGACCTTGGGGTGATGGGAGCCTGGGAATAAGCTCCAATCATGAAGGCCTGTTAGAAGAGGTCACCGTGCTGCTAGCTCTGCATCAGGTGGTTTTCGAGCATGAAGTCACGCCTCCTAGGCTAGTCCTGGAAAAGGATGTCGCCCCAGGGTCAGTAAACACCAGAATGAAAACTGTGCCCAGTCCAGAGCTCAGCCCGTGCTCCTGGGGTGACCAAAGGAGGGAATAAATCCTGCCCTGGATGTAGTCTATACACTGTAGTTAGGAGCCATTTCCTCATTCCTGACAAGTGTGCAAGCTTCCCAGGCTGGGAGAGGCCGCTTCCTCCAGAATTAAGAGGAAAGCCAGAGGCCCTGTCTGACCTGGCTCCTCCCTGGGCCCCACCTCACTGCAGCCCCGAAGGTCCTGCTCCATTGCTGGGACCCAGCAGGTCCCTTTCCGTATGCTCAGGATCTTCTCTCTGAAGGGCTGTCCCCATTCCTTTGAGTGTCAGCTCTAAGGTCAACTTTAGGCCTAAGCTTCCGAGATACCCTTGGATGCTGCTGGTCCCTTACCTCTTTCCTTTAACAGGCCTGCATTTCTGTCCATCATGCCATGGTTCACAGTTCATGTGTATGAACTTGTTTGTATGTATATATGTGTACCATGTTTGCCCGGTGCCTGCAGAGAACGAAAGAGGGCATCAGATCTGCTAGGACTGTATTAGATGGTTGTGAGCCACTATGTGGGTGCTGGGAACTGAGCCCTGCTCCTCTGCGGTAGTGACAAGCGTTCCGAACCTCTGAGTCTTTTATCCTGCCCCAATCTTTGCTTCTCTTGTCATATCTATTCCCCACCCTTTCTCTTCTGCATCTTCCAGTCTCTACTTATTTGTAACACCCAACAGCGCACAATCATAGTGCCGAACCTGCTAACAAGCTGACATAGCTAACAAGCTTCCCTCTTGGTGTGTCTTAAATCAAATTCCCAAGAAGGGCTCTCTGATTGCTCCCAAGACAACTGCTAGATCTTTGCCTGGATTCTGGATTGGCTACCGTGGTGGGTCACACCACTGTTATAAAAGCTGGCAACACTTGGCAAGCCCAAGCGAGTGTGCCCTCCTTGGGAAGTAGAATGTGGGGGCAGCAGGCAAGGTTTGCTGTTTCTAGAGCCTGAGCCCAAGAGGGACCCCTTGATTCTGGAATGCCTCAGGCGACAGAAGGTTTTCTGTTTCTTGTCTTTAATCTTGTCAGATTAAAACCTTCAGCTGACTGTGGCCCCTTCCGAGGTCTGCCTTCCTTCATCCAGTCCATCTACAGCTGGATCGACTCCCTAAGCAGGAGGTCTGGCTACCTGTGGGTCGTCTGGATCTACCAAAACCTCATCGGCAGCGTGCACTTCTTCTTCATCCTCACACTGATTGTGTTGTAAGTGGGCTTCCTGGGGAAGCTAGAGGGAGGCGAAGCTGAGAATTCTCGGGGACCCTTTTATTGACATGAGAACAGTCTTATTCATCTGGGAGGCCAAGCAGTGAGCACAGGATGGTCTCGACACTATCCTCGAATAGGTAGTTTTCTGTAAAATGTTTAGTATTTTCTCATCTAAGACTTTTTTCCCCGTATGTTCTGCAAACTCTCTTCCCTTTTGCTGGGGAAACAGCTCAGTGGTGGAGCACTAGCCTGGAATATGCAGGACTCTAGTTTAATCCTCACTATCCTCACTATTGAAAAAAGAAAAAAAAAAAAACACCAAAATAAATTTTTTTTAAAAAAATGAAAATGTGTGAGAATTCTCAGAAAAATTCCTTTGGAGGCTGCAAGATATAAAACTGGCCCAGGCTTTGTTGACATTCATTTAGGATATTTTTTAAAATAGACACTTTTGACTTCTTGTGAGGATTTGTCAACACTGGGTTCATTTTCCTGCATGGAAGAATTGGCTGGTCAACTTACCAGTGGCCACCTGACCGCAGCTCAGTCCCAGTGGCATTGGACAGGGCGTTCCTTATCATGAGACACAGGACTCAAGACTTCAGGCTATTGGAGCCAGCTACGGATCACAGAACATTATCTGGGTTTTGCAGATGATAGCAGTAAGTCAGAGATAGGATGGTTGCTGATACAGGTTCCGTGGTACACAGGCTGATAGTGAAGGAAGAGGCTGGAAGCCAGGTCTCCTGGCAATCTGTGATGCTCCCCTCCCCCACTCCCCAGCAGCAGCTGTTATTGGCATGTTAGAATGGTAAACTGGCCTCCGGCTCTACTTCCTCTGCCACGCTTCTCGTTTACTGGCTCTGCTGCTGACTCCACTCGTTCTTCTAATGAGAAGTTTTCCTTACACCAAGCAGTTCTTCAACATCACAGGCACTAGCTAGGTAGCCTACTGTTTCAGTCAGTTCTGATCCTGGACTTGGACGGCATCAACCTTCTAAGTTAAGGGCCTGGTCCTGCAAAACCCAGTTTAGATGCCAGGTTCATGTCCCAAGTGTCCCCTGTACTTATGACTGGCTCTGAGTTCAAAGGTTCCTGCCACTTCCTCCTCCTCATATTCAATAATTTGCTAAAATGACTAGGGGAGCTCAGGAATTATCCATTTGGGATGTCCAGTTTATGATAAAGGATGCAACTCAGGAAGAGATGCGCAGGGCAATGTGGGAGGCTTTTATGCACTTCCCTAGGAAGGTATGCTTGACCAAATTTTGGCTATTGGTGTTTAGTTCTATTTCTAGCACTTCTCTCCTTTATAACGTCATGAGGGGCAAGGACTAAACAGCCCACCTATTTCTTTATTTTGAGACAGAATTTTGATATGTGGGTGAGGCTGGCCTTGAACTTGCAATCTTCTTGTTATAGCCTAAGTCTGGCTCTTCAAACATGCCTTATCTTTGCAGTAACTAGTCCCTTATCTGTAAGGTCCTCAGTCACCAAACATCTGCTGGGGCCTGGGGGCTGGCTGAGTGGTAAAGTCCTTCCTGTATGAGCGGGTGGGCCTGAGTTCAGAACCCCAAAAGCTGGATATGACAATGCACATCTGTAAAGCTAACACTAGGGGAAGCAGAGACAGGTGGATCCCTGAGGGGCAGTGGACAGCCAGTCTGCCAGTTAGTGAGCACCAGGATTAATGAGTCTGAGAGTCTGAAGAACAAAATAAGGTGGAGAGCAACACAGCAGCAGGCCAGACTTTGAACTCTGACTTCCATGCGTGCATTCACAGGAACACATGCAAATACACACCCAAATGCAGAGTCCAGATTCTCCAGTTCTACTAAATCTGAATATGTACATTCCAGGAAATGTACATCATTTCAAATTTGAACAACCTGTGTGCAAATCACATAGTCTAGCTACGAATTCAAATTGTATGTGTTTTTAAACTGTGGCTGCCTGGCTTTTGCCCAGAGAATGTGTGCCTGCTTGATCTGAGGACCAGCCATGGCGTGGCACTATTTCCACCTCACTGGTGATTCTGTATGTGCAGCCAGGTTGAGAAAATATTGCTCTAAGGCAGTGGTTCTCAACCTTCCTAATGCTGTGACCCTTTAATAGAGTTCCTCATGTTGTGGTGATCCCCCTCCCCAACCAGAAAATTATTTTTGTTGCTACTTCATAACTGTAACTTTGCTACTGTTGTGAGTTGTAATGTAAGTATCTGTGCTTTCTGATGGTCCTAGAAAGAGTAATTTGCTCCCCAAGGGGGTCGTGACCCACAGGTTGAGAACAGCTGCTCTCAACCTGTTACCCCCTGTTTGACTTTTCAGGGACACCCCTGGGTCAAAACCCACTTGCAAGCAAATATGGCAGCCCCTCTGCGCCCCTCTGAAACACGGAGCCTCAAAGCACAGTCAAGAGCGCCCATCATTTTCTTCTCTTCCAGAATCATCACCTATCTTTACTGGCAGATCACAGAGGGGAGGAAGGTCATGATCCGGCTGCTCCATGAACAGATCATTAATGTAAGGCTCTCCTGTGTCCCTCTCCGCCTCTCCTTCTCTCTCCTCTCTCAACAGTGTAGAGTAGAAACCTCCAAACATATTCCAAAATAGAATAAATAGTACAGTGAATCTCCATGTCCCCCTCACCCGGCCATGTGTGTGTATGTATGCACACATGTATCTGTACACATATGTGGAAGGCCAAAGGATAGCCTTGGCCGTCACTCCTCTGTACACATTTCTTAAAAAAAAAAAAAAAAAAAAAGACAAGGTCTCTCATTGGCGTGGACCATGCCAAATGGGACAGGGGAGGGGGGCTGGCCAGTGAGCCCCAGAGACCTGCCTGTCTCCACTTCCTCCCTGCCGGAATACAAGCAAGTGCCACCCTACTTGTCTTTTTTTATATAGGTTCCAGTGATCCAGCTCACTCATGAGCACTTCACCGATGGAGCTCTCCCTTCAGCCACCCTTGAGATTTATACACGCTCACTTGATCCCTGCAAATCTTTGCATTATTTTAAATAGCTCCCGAGGTTTTTGCATTAGCCACCTCTCTCATTACCGTGACACAGTACTTGATAAGGAGCAACTGAACGGAAGAAGTATTTATTCTGGCTCACACTTTCTGTCCACTGTGTCAGGGAAGGCAGGGTAGAGTTCATGACGGCAGGGGCATGTGGCCGAGACCCCTCACGTGTGGACAGATCAGGGGGCAGAGAAGCTGGGCTGGAACCAGAAGCAGGTGTCACCTCAGAGGCCTGCCCTCAGAAGCCCATTTCTGCTGATTGTGCACAGTCCTGATGGTTCTATGACCAGCTGAGATATCCCATTCCTGGGGGCAGCCCTTCTTTTTGGGGAGAGTCCAGCAGGTGAATGTAGGAACAACAAGGGAAGAGAAGGAGATCTTGAAGAAGAGGCCACAGGAATATGAGCGTGAGCAGCAGTTACACAGTGACAGATGTCGTGATAATCGTTACAAGCAGGGTGTCAAAATCAGTGGTTCGGAGTTTAAGAAAAAACAGGGATGAACTGGAGTGACTTGTTGTGCCTTGTGAAGTTGGGATGACCATGCCTGCATAGAGGAGACAGTGATGCTTACCCGGCTCCCCACAAAGGTGGAGTAGTTCAGACCTTCCTGCTGTAAGGCTCACGGGGAAGTGATCCAAGACTCCTGAGAGAAAAAATAGTCCCTCTGTTTCTCTTTGAACTGATGAATCACAGATCTCAGCCAACACACATAACTTTGAACCTTTTGTTTTTAATTTTATTATTATTATTAAATTATTAGTGTGTGTGTGTGTGTGTGAGAGAGAGAGAGAGAGAGAGAGTCCAGGCATGTATTTCCCATGGCATGTGTAGGACATTAGAAGACCACTTACAGGAATCACTCAGATCAACATTTCTCAACCTGTGGGTAGTGACAACTTTGGGGGTTGAACAATCCTTCACAGGGGGCGCCCAAGAGCATCAAAGGCACCCCTTTTTACATTATGATCCGTAACAGTAGCAAAATTACAATTATGATGTAGCAACACAAATAATTTTATGATTGGGGATCACATGAAGAACTATATCAAAGGGTCTGAACATCAGGAAGGCTGAGAGCCGCCGCCTTACAGGGCCCTATGGTAATGCTGGAGAGGTTAAGGGCTCACTGGCTTTGCTCTGAAATGTTTCTTCTCTTCCATCAGAAGAAAACAGGGCAGCCATCTCCTTCTGTCTGCCTGGTGGGCCCCCTTTTTATCCAGGCCTTCTTCACCCCACGCCAACACACATCTTCCATGCTTTACTTTTCTTTTTCTTCCTTGGCAGGAGGGCAAAGATAAGATGTTCTTGATAGAAAAGTTGACCAAGCTACAGGATGTGGAGAAGAGAGCCAACCCCAGTGCGCTTATCCTGGAAAGGAGAGAGGTTGAGGTAAGGCCACCGCTGCCCTGGGACTACAGGACAAGCACCGGTGTCCTTGTGACAAGTTTTGGGAAACAGACACGAAACTCTAGGGGGTTTTGTTTGTTTCTGTGCAACAAGCTCTCCTGGTGTAAAGCCCCGGCTGGCTCCTGTTCTGGCCTCTTGAGTTCTGGAAGTACAGGTGTCTTTCCCTCTGCCTGGTAGGACTCTCCTCACTTTCTGTCTTAAGCATTTCTGTGCTCTTAACTAATAATAATAATAACAAATCATTGTCCACTCAACACCTGCATGGCTGGCCGTGGTCCAGCCGTGTGAATTAAGGAATGCTCGCCTCTCCTGGAGTCCATGCTTGCTTTAAATCACCCGGGAACAACACGGGAGTACCCCACTGACTAGTGTACGCTTTAGTGGCTTTCTCTCAGACCTTTTCCTGGGCCGTCAACAATCACACCTTTGTCTACCCAGACTTTGAGGAATGGATTAGGAAAGTAAGGCTTTCCCAATTTTATAATCATAGCATGATAGCTTTCTCCTCACTGAACACTGTATCCTGAACATGGTTGCCTTCTGGATATATTTGGACATTTGAGTTGTTTGGGGGGTCTTTTCAAATACCAAAACTGATGCTGAATGAAATGTTTTATTAAAAACTATAGTAAGTGGACAGTATATTAAGAGTTGTTATTTAATGGTGCTCTAGATGGAAACCAGGGCCTTGTGCATGCCAGGCAAGTGATCTACCCCTGAGATATCCCTAGTTCTGTTCGTTATAAGCGTTTTGTGTGTTTCTGCCCCAGGACTTGCACATCTGTCCCCATACCATGTTGTTAATAGACATTCTTATATCAAACTCATAAAAAGATTTTTTTTGCCAATTTCCATCGGTGTTCTGAAATACACCACTAAAAAGTAAACTCTCCTTTTTTTTGGGGGGGGGGGTAGTTCAAGACAGGATTTTTCTGTGTAGCCTTACCTGTCCTGGACTCACTTTGTAGACCCAGCTGGTGTCAAACTCACAGCAATCTGCTTGCCTCTGCTTCCCTGAAAGCTGGGAAGAAAACTCTCCTTAACTCAAAATATGCACATCACAATTTATTATCTGTATAAATTAATGCTGTCAGTATTTGCCCAGCCGAAAGCTAATGTATTAGCTGGCATGTCACAAATGCTCAGTAAATGTCCAAGGAATGAATGCAGTATCTGTGGCTGAAAACCCAAACATGTTGGATATTTCTGACTCTTTGTTCTCAACCATTACCCCTTCATTTTAAAATAGTAGCAGCCTCACAGATTATCCCGATTGTGCAACAAACCCAGTACTTGCATTCCCCTCTGGTGACATGGCTGTCTGTTTTCTTCATTTTCAGCAACAAAGCCCTTTACATTTGGAGGAACTCAGTGATGCTCCCGGTGAGTACCAGAACTGCCACAGACAGAGACCCAGTGATGTAGCCCAAAGTGGAGGGCATGCAGTTGCTCTCCAGCTACAAGCCTGCCCTCGGACAAATTTGTTTTTTGCTTTTGTTTTGTTTTTTGGTCTGGCTTAATGCGGAAGCCCACAATGTCACTAGAGCCTGATTTCTGCTTGTTTTACATGGTAGGTCTTTAGACAAACAGCCACTTTGCAATGATAGCAAAACAGCACTGCCAACATGTGACATTTCAGGTTCAATCTGATGGGAAAGAGTCTGGGGAATCTAGAATTTTCATATCAGTTCCACTCAGTCTGATATGTTCATCCACAAACCCACTGATGTGACTCTGAAAATGTCACAGTACACTGAGCCATATCCAAGACACGTGCTACAGTACTGATGGTACAACCATACAGGTCACAGGAGCTGGGAACAGGCACTTCTGTGTGCCAAGTCTGGGGCTGATGCCAGAAAGGGAATGGATGCTGGGGAAGAAACAAATAAGCCTCCTCATTTTTTTTTTAGACTAGTTCTTTATTTTTGTGTGTGCATGTTAGTGTGTATGTGCCTGTGTGTGCACAAGGAGACCAGCAGAGGGCGTTGAGTGTCCTTTCTCACCCTCTGCCTTTCCTTTGAGGCAGGTTCTCTCTCTGAACCGGAAACTTTTTTCCGGTTTTTTCTTGGCTAGTCTGGAAGCCAGCAAGCTGCAGTGATCCCCCTGCCTCTGTCCTTCCCTGTTTTTTAGGGTTTGCAGGCATTTGTGGAATACCTGGGCTCTGGGGTCAAAACCCTGGTCCTCATGGTCCCACAACAAGCACTCTTACCACTGAGCCACCCCTCCAATCCTGCACTTTTGTTTGTTTGTTTTTGGTTGGTCGTTGTTTGGGGGTTTTTTTGTTTTGTTTTTGTTTTATTTATTTATGTGGTTTGGTGTTTTGAGAAAGGGTTTCTCTCTGTAGCCTTGGCTTTCCTGGATTGGCTTTGTAGACCAGGCTGGCCTTGAATTCAGAGAGATCCGCCTGCCCTTTGCCTCACTGAGTGCTGGGATTAAAGGCTTAGGCTGCCACGCCCAGCTCCTGCACTTATTTTTTTAAATAGTATTTACTGACAATGATGGGAGGTCAAGAGGGAGAGAGTCTGGAAACTAAAAAGGGAGGTGGGAAGGAAGGCTTGAGAAGTGCTTGAGTCTTCCTGGCTGTTCTGAGGGGAGCCCTTGGCAAGCTGGGAATGTGTGTGTCTGCATTAACTTCTCCTTCCTGTGTCAAACCCAGACCTGCGATGGAGGCGGTCAGTGCATGAAGAGAATCCAAAAGCCTGATGACTGTCGTGTGTAGAAGCCAGATGCTGGTCAAAAAGGGAAAGAAGATAAGCATAAATGGGACAGCCTCTGTGACAGTTGGGCTTCAGGAGCTTCTCAGGAGTAGAATCCAAGCCTGAGGCAGACAGTAATCTGACCCACAGTGCAAATGGCTCTATGAAACAGGACACACTTTACCTCCAACCTGGATTGCTATTTTTTTTTTCCAAAACAAAGTCCTTAGAATTTTCCAATTAAAACTTAAAATATTGAAATTATTCTACAAACACCTGGGAAGAGGTAATTTGGGAATGTTGCACTTTTATCTTTAAGAAATATATGTCTTCATGATGGGTCCTGTAGGACTCTCTCTTCCCAGACCTGGCAAAGGTTTAAAAACTGGTGCTAAAAATAATGGTCCATAATGAATTAAAAATGTGATTCTCAATCTGGGATGCAAATCCTCTGAATGGTATAACTTGTGTTTGTCTGTGATTGTGAACTAGAAACAGCCCTGTATCATCTAAAGCTGAAATATAATCAAAGGTCTTATGGATGAACTTTGTCTTTACTGCGTACAGGAGTCTTGGGCTTGAACTAGTGGCTGTCTTAGGGTTTCTATTGCTGCAGTGAAACACCATGACCAAAAGGCAGGTTGGGGAGGAAAGTGTGTATTCTGCTTACGCTTCTAGGTCATAGTCCATCTTTGGAGGAAGTCAGGACAGTGGATCTCAAGCAGGGCTGGAACTTGAAGGCAGGAGCTGATGGAGAGGCCATGGAGGGGTGCTGCTTACTGGTTTGCTCCTCATGGCTTGCTCAGTCTGCTATCTTACATAAACCAGGACCACCAGCCCAGGGATGGCACCACCCACAATGGGCTGGGCCATCCCCCATCA